AGGTTTCATTTCCTGACCATGTCAATTGTGACACCTGTGACATAAATGAAAATACTATGGATTGTGGGCTTCCTTGTTAGTACCAGCCACATCTCAGCCCCACTGGGTCCCCCGCAGTCTGGTTGACCACCTCTGGTGAATGATTAAAAATACATGGCATCATCCCTGTGAACCAGGCAGATCAGTAACCTCAAAGCTTGTCTTATAACCACAAAGAGAGGGTTTGAATTGTGACATAATAGAGATTTTTGCAAACAAATTAATGTACCAAGAAATCAACTGTAGTATAAAGCCTCCTGTAATTTACACAGGGAAATCACCATTGTGTGAGCTTTTCCTACATTTGAAGAATCTTAGTTCCTAAAGGACCAACTTAGCAAGGTCCTTACAGGTGCCTTTGAACAGTTGGACCTGTGACTAGGGAAGACCTGAGAAATTTGTACCTCTCTGAGGATGCATGACTTTGGCTCTGCCACCAAAATATCTTTCTGCATCCTCATTTCAATCTCTTCTTGGTCAGGTAAGATTAGGGTGAGGAGTCCTGGGCTCTCATCATTTATGAATCAGGTTGAAGACAACATATGTCAAATAGAACATGTAATTTTTTATATTATACCCTTGATATTGGTGGTAGATTAAGAAAAACAGAGTAGGTTTATGAAAACTGACAGAATTTAAGATGTTAAAAATTAAGCTAAAAGTCCAAGATGAGTCCCTGATAACAGATTTTAATATGCAGGAAAAAGTGTAATCTCATCAGTAGCATTAATAACAGTAGAAAAACATATACAATGAGGTCAAGGCAAGGATATAAAATTAAGACTGTTTAAAATGCAAAATACCTTGAGGTCTAAGCTAGAGAATATTATAATGATACTCTCTTATTAAGCAATTCTTATTTATGTAATTCATCCAAAATCTGAGACCTGGGGAGAAAATCAAGTGTGTGGTCTTCAAAAGATCAACATGAGTAAAAGCAAAATAAAACAAAAATTCAACTAGAAGTTAAATTAGAAAAAAAGAGAAAAATTAGAAGGTGGTTCTTTTCTGGGAGAGAGAGAGTAAAATCGAGTAAGAACCCACAACAGGAAAGCAAAATGGAACCAGAGACTAAGGACACAAAGTTTGACCAAATTCCTCTCTCACTGGGATTAGCGAAGACCTAGTCAGATGGAGGGAAAGTGACTGGTTAGGAATTAGGAACTGAGGGGCTACTGTGACTCCTGTGAGGATCTTGGCCCCAAACACCCCAAGGTATAGCAAAGGTGAGCCAGCTGAATCTGCCTGCTTGTAGGAGTCAAGTTTCAAATACAAATGTGAAACATGACATCCTAAAGAGGAGTTCTGCCTCTGGTGGACCTTGGTTGACTGTGTTACTTTGAACCAAACCTTCTCCTGAGAAAATCTAGAAAAGATCAATGAAATATTAGAAACATCTGCTTGAAGAAATTAGAGATCTGAAAAATCAGTGAGGAATCTAGTGGTGAAAGAAGAAACCCAGAGAGACAGATGGTAAGAATGTGGGGACATTTTCCCCTGGAGAGAATTGTCTGAAAGTTATAGCTGAGAGGCAGATAAGCTGCAGAGACCTTCTGAAAGAGGGACAAAAGTTGGGTTCGGAAACCTCCTTGGAAGGGAGGACTTTGGAAAACTTCATGGGTGTTTAAGTGGATCCCAAAGGACCAAGAGCAAGGGAGTAGCAGAAATTGAAATCCAGCTCAAAAGCCCCTCAACATTGATTTAATTAGGGTGACCTGGGATTGTTAGTGCCTCTAGACCTGCCACCCACCAGGTACAAAGGGAATAGTCTCTGGAAGAAGATGATATTACCAGAGCCTCAAATTATTGCTATCGTTTTTCATGTAGAATTCACCGCACTTAATGAAAAGTACTAGTTAAGAAGATAAGTTATGACCCATAAACAAGTAAAAATAGGCAATAGAAAAAGACTCAAGGAGGATCTGATTAATAAAATGATCAGGCACAAGCTTCAAAATAATTGATTAATATTTTCAAATAATTTAAAAGACAAGATTGGGAATTTTGACAGACTATGAACTATTTAAACAAAGAATAGATACATCAGAAGAGATACTTAGGAACCTGGAAGGTATGTCAGAAGAAAACATCTACTATAAAATATAATGAGACAAATGGGTGGAAAATACAAAAAAGACTCAGAGTTGTGTAGGAGAAAAGTGAAAATGTCTAAAAAATACCTGTAATTAGAGCTCCAGAAGCAGAAGAAAGCAAGATTGGAGAAATAAGATATGAAGAACTAATGGCCAGGATTGACCCAAAACTGACAAAAACCATTGAAACACAGATTGAAAAGGCACTCCACCCCAGCTCCAAACAATAAATACAAAGATGACTACACCTAATTATATCACTGTTCAATTGCTGAAGAAAGACAAGGGAAATTTAAAAGAACCAAAAGGAAAGAAAAAAAAAAGACATTTTCAAAGTAGCAAAAACAAGACCTGGTTTCTCAACAAAAATATAGGAAGCTAGACAATGGAATAATATTTTCCATGTCCTGAAAGAAAATAATCGCCAACATAGAATTCTATACCTGGCAAAACAGTAAAGGAAATACTGCAGGACTTACTTCAGGCACAAGGAAAATGATCCTAGTTAAAACACAGGACATACAGGACAGAATAAAGAGCAACAGAAAGGGTGGATCTAAATGAATATTGACTCATAAAACAATAAAATCCATTTCTTTGGGGATTTAAAATGTAGACAAAACTGCAGGGTGTGGTGACATATACCTATAATCACAGCGACTCCAGAGGCTGAGGCAAGAGGATCACAAATTCAAAGCCAGACTAGCAACTATCTCAAAATTAAACATTTTTTTTTAAAAAAAGGGTTGGGGATGTGGCTGAATGGTTAAGCAACACTGGATTCAACCCTCAATACAAAAAAAAAATGTACAGAGAACTTAAAGGCATAGTAATAACAGCAATAAGTTGGAGAAGGAGGGAAATAAAAAGAGTTAACATGCTCTAAGATTCTTGTATAACCTAGGAGATGATAAAAGCACTAATTTATTAGTACTAATAGAGATATTAATAAGTCAGGGGTACATAGCTAACAAATAGGTTTTTTTTCACTACTTCAACTTTTTTCTTTTTTAAATTAAATTATTTTTTTATTCTAATTTGTTATACACGATGGCAGAATGCAATTCATTTCATATTACACATATAGAGCACAATTTTTCAAGTCCCTGATTGTACACAAACTATTTTCCCACCATTCATGTTGTCATCAATGTACTTAGGGTAATGATGTCTAACTTATCATTCCTATCTCCTTGCCCCTTCCTTTCCTCTCTCTCCCCTTTGCCCTATCTAAATAAAGTTCCTCCATTCCTCCCATGTCCCCCACACCACCACCACCCCACCCCTCCCACCCCCCTACCCCCGCCCCACCAGCCCTGCATGACCATTGTGAGTCAGCATCCTCATATCTAAGAAAATATTAGGCTTTTGTTTTTTTGGGATTGGCTTGCTTCACTTAGCATTATATTCTCCAACTCCATCTATTTACCTGCAAATGCCATGATTTCATTCTCTTTCAATGCTGAGTTCCATTGTGTATACATACCAAAGTTTCCCTATTCATTCATCTACTGAAGGACATCTAGGTTGGTTCTACATTTTAGCTGCTGTGAATTGTGCGTCTATAAACACTGATAAGGCTGTATTCCTGTAGTTTGCTGTTTTTAAGTCCTTTGGGTATAAACGGAGGAGTGGGATAACTGGATTGAATGTTGGTTCCGTTCCAAGTTTTCCAAGGAATCTCCATACTGTTTTCCACATAGATGTGGGGGAAAAGGCACACTCATACATTGCTGGTAGGACTACAAATAGTTTTGTTTTAATAATAAAGAAAACTATTTTGAATTAAAGACAACCTTAATTCAAAAGATGACAGGTAGAATGGGGGGAAGGCAAACATGAAGAAAAGATGGTAGGTATAAATCCACACACATCAGTAACAACAGCACCAAGTACATAGTCCAGAGGGAGTGATTTTGGACTATAGAGATGAGTTATTAACTGACCACAACCATCCTTGGAGGAAGAGTGGGTCAGAATCTAGGAAGAAGCTCTGGGATAAAGAAGGAAAACAGTTTGGGGAACCCAGGCTGCATTCCCCAAAAAGTTTGTGTAGTGAAATGAATAAAGGAGAGTTGGGCTACTCGAAGAACCCAAGAGATCAGCCAGACCAGGGAGTGAGGACTCCCCTGTTCATTCCAAGCAAGAGCTTCCAGTTTGTAACAGCAAGGACACTGACATATTTCTTCACCATTACAAAGATTTCACGTGAAATATGCCACCCGTTCATCACAACTTTGTTATATAGAGCACACAGAATGACAAACCCCATTTTACATATGAAGAAGCGAAGACCTGGAAAAAACCAGACACTCAGTGCCAAACTAGAAACTAGATCTTTCAATTCTCCCTCCATTACTCTTTCCACCACAAGACCTCTAACCTAAAGCAACAGAGGATTTACAACCCATTGATCTTGCCATGCATCTGTTGACCCCAGATTTTTAGTGTTAATTTCCCATTCTACAGAAGTGCTGGGCTACTCAGCCCCAGCTAAGAGTTGTGAAAATTAAATGAGCTACTATAAAGAAAGCCCTAGCACACAGTAGACATCCTCTAAGATGCATGAAACTTATAGTAGATGAACTCCCAGAGTAGTGGCTTAAGGGTCAGGCAGGAACCAGCAACTGCAGAGAGCAAGACAGGTAGGATTCAGGTTCAACCTTCCAGGAGCTTCCAGCCTGGAAGAGGGACAAGGGAAGAACCTAAATGCATTCAAAGGCAGAACAATGCCAAGAAAAAGGTACAAGGGGCAACAGGGGAGGTCACATCTGGCTCTCTCTCTCTCTGGACAGAAAGGACACTGAAAGCACCAGGGTGGTAGGGACAGAGATGTTCTTGACTGAAGTGTGTAGCCAGAGTCATTACCTTTTTAGCCAATGCCACCATCCCGATGACTGCTATGAAGATGACCCCCAGCACTGCAAGCAATGGGACCTGGAACCCGACGCTGCGCTCTAGAGGGAGGACAAAATAGAGGTGCGTGTCAGAGACCCAAAGCAAAGCTGCCTTCCCCAGGGAAGCCTCAGCTTCAGGGCCCAGGGACCCACAAGTGCCTTTCTCCAACCACAGGCCTGGAGTCTTTAAGTCCAACTCTTTGGACAGCAAAGAGTCCACCCGGACTATCAGGAAATCAATGTCTTATCTCCAAGTATTGTCATGCCTCCTGTATTTGAACCAGAGCAAATTCTTTTTAGCACTCCTTTCTTCTATTCCACAAGATCATTTTCAGTAATCACGAAATGAAAGAAATAATACCATCAGAAGAAAATCCAAAAAGTGAGCAATTTCTTGCATTACACTTCATATACAGAGCCATATCATTAAAATCAGTTTAATTAGAAATGCAATAAATTAATATCAAATTACTAAAAGAAAAGGCATGTGACTTTTCTCCTTAACCCTTATTTCAAGCTCAGCTGTGAAACTCTGGAGGGAGGAAGGCTCTGGAGCCTTATACTTTGCTGTTTTATCAGCCCCTGACACATAATAGATATGAAATATTTGTAGCATGAATGAGAGTATGAACAAGCAAATCTCTTTAAGACATAAAATATAATGGAAAGAAAAAAGAGGCAAGAGGGGAGTTTTGAAGGCATGAGTGATATTTGATTTAAGGAGAATATGAGAGAACCCAAACAGTTGTCCTGATGCATGCTGTGCTATGGGTAGAAGAGTTTCCAGGCCACTTCATCCCTCTTCTAACTTCACCCCAGGGTTTTAGGCAGGACCCGAGAGTCCAGGGCAGACTTGGAAAACAAGGGTCTAGTAGAGGCCTGGCCTTGCTACCTTCTAAGGTCTGAAATTGCTAGAATGGCTGCTAAGGTCTCCAATCCCCTAGGACAAGGGCAGTATCTGTCCAAAAGCCAAATTCCATGCTCCTCCCACTCTGAGGACTCAGTCTCCATAGGCCAAGCCGGGCATCACTGACCACAGCAATGAAGTTCACTCAGTGGGAAAGAAGGCAGGTAGGAACCAGACAGCAGTCACCTTGCAGGAGTCAGGGCAGGCTGTAGAGGGCTACGCACAGAGCCCAGACAAGACCTGTGCTCGTAGCTGAGGTCAGAGCCAGGCTAGGGGGCCAGGATTGAGATTGGATTCTCTTCCAGCTTGTTGATAGAAGCAGAAGGTTAATACCATGGCCACATTTAAGGGGAGGTTATGATAATGAATTTGTTTAGGTTTAGAGATATAATTAGGACCAGAAAGTATTTTGGATATTAAGAATATCAACTTCATTGGAAATTTCTGTCTGAAGTTAAAACTCCAATTCTTCCATTCACAGTCATATTCAATGATCAAAGACTTCAAGGTCTTTGGAACAGAAGCAGCCGCAGAGCAAGCACCAGAACATGCAGCTAGAGAAGGGGTGGATTCTGCAAAAGGATACTTAAGACTTGTGCTTAGTATCAGGTGAGCTGTAGGGTTAAGTTCAATTCTAGCTTAAAGGTTAAAAATAGCTTACATGTGGTAGTTACTGGAAACTTGGACTAAGGTTTGAGATTAGGGTCAGAAAAAAGTCAGGGTTGGAGTTAGTAATTATAAAGGTCTTGCACTCCGGATAAGCAACTAAGCCCTTGAGAAACAGGAGGAAAACTACAAGTGATCAGTGGTGGCCCTGGGGTCTGCCAGGGCAAAAAGAGTGGAAATGTGTGGCACTTGGGCAGGAGTGGAGCAGGGGTCCAATAGAATGTCTTCTGAATGCTCCCCCCAGGAGGCCCATGAGGTACAGGGAAGACACTTGCCCCTTCATTTCTCCATTTTCCCATGGAGAATGGGACAAGTGCCGCTGTGGCCAGGGACAAGTATGCTTGCTAGGAGCATCAGTCCCTGGACATGTTTTAGCCTATATTATGTTTTCTTATGTTTTAGCCATGAGCAAACATAATATAGTTCCCCTGTGGGCTCCAGTTCCAGGGGCCTCCATGCCATGCGGGTAGGAGGTGATCTGTCTGGATCCCACCCTATCCCCAGTCCTGCAGTAGCTGATGGGCCCTTGGTAATATGACAAAAGCCCAAAATGGTAAAGACCATCAGATGGTTATGCTTGCTGGTCCTCTGCTGTGTTATTGTCTAGATCTCCTCTAACCACAAGGCAATAAATAGTATAATAACAAGTATTTATTAAGTTAAGCTTATTATGTGCTCAGCACTGTTACAAGACCTGATTCATAACAGCTCATGAGATTGTTCACCACATTTTATGAATGAGAAAACTGAGAGAAAGCTAAGTAATTTACCCATTCCAATATCAAACCCCAGCAATGTGATTCCGGAACCTAGGCACTTAACTACTCATGGCATTTGTCCTCGGTTGGGACCAGCCAAGAAGTGACATTTGAAAGGAAACTTTAAGGTAACCTTTCATTTTCCCAATATACACATACTTTGAAAACTCATGAAAATTAATCCCCAACATAATTGATGTCAGAAAGTAGACATTCTGAGTTTGGAGGTCCATGGAAGTAGAACACCTGTGTTAACATCAGCTCTACCACTCTGTGCAACTAGATACAAGCCTAGGTTTTCACCTTCATCAAACAGTCAAATAAGAATCACATTCACAGTCAACACTTACATGGTGCTTATCATGATCCAGGCACTGATGTAAGGACATTTTCTTGCAGTAGGTAATCCAATCCCACATTAGCACCTCATAAGGTCTTACATACATCCTTATTGCACAGATGAAAAAAAAAAAAAAAAACGATGCTCAGAGGAGCTGAGTAATCTTGTCTGAGGTCAACAGCAAAGAAGAATTTGAATCCAGGCTGTCTGGTGTCAGAGTTTGAGCTCTGAACCACTCCCTATACTATCTCTCAGATAGGATAATAATCCTTTCGAACTTTGGGAGAAATGGTTTAAGCATCCAAGTGGGTAAGGACTGAAGGAATTTTGGAAACTCTGAAATGCAACACCAATGCCAATTATTGTACATTAACTAGCTCTGATCTTTATAAACTTAAGGGCTAATTATAATGTGCATGATTGACACTAAATCAATAAATGAGTATATGACCTTACCAATCGGTCTTCCTTGTAATATAGATAAGCTGTGCTTCCCACTCAAGAGCAGTGGCTCTCAGTCCTAGCTGCAAATTGAATCACCAGGATGCTTAGGGATCACATCACATCCTTGTTTGCCCCTAGAGATTCTGATTTCATTGGTCTATGTGAGGGCCCTGGTATCAGAATTCTTTAAAAACTCCACAAGTGATTCAAATGTGCTCCAGGACTGAGCTTCACTCCCCAGACTGTGTCAGGATGGCATTTTCTATGCTGCTCCGAGGAAATACCTGAGCTTCCTAGGACCTCCAGGAAGATGCTCCCCTTGTAAATCCCATCAGGGTAGGTGTGATAGATGCAGAAGTACTCCCCTGTGTCATTCATGGTCAGTGACTGGAAAATGAGGCCAAAGTGAGGGCCCGGGGCCACCCGCTCACGGAAGGCCGGGTTGATATACCACCCATATTCAGTATGACAAATGGCTAGAAGTTGGTCCTGCTGTTCCCAGTTGACTTGGGTCACTTCAGCCATGGTGAAAGAGAGATGACACTGTAAGACGACCGAGCCACCTTCCTCTGCAGAAATGTTCCCCTTCATCACAAATGTGCCTGTTGTAACTTTTAGGAAAGAGAAAAGGGGCACACGTAAGTTCCAGGTCACCCATGGGCCTATAACCTCCCTATAGAAATTCCAAGGGGGCCAGGATTGGTTTTAGGAAAGATTGTTTCTCCAGGCCATCCTATCCCTCCTCTAAACAGACAACTATTGTTTCTGTTTTCATTTTGAGAGGCATTCCTTTTCCTCACTGTCAACTAAGTCTCCCAGCCCCAGCCCTTGGCCCTTTCCGGTCCTCTTGCCCTTTTCTATACACCTCCATTTTGTCCAGTCTGGCTCCTTTCCTCCATCACCTCTGCTTCCAGAGCTTTCTTCTGTCTCCCCCCGCCCCCACCCACTTAGCGCCTTGTCAAATCTGCATTTCCTCTCCTGCATCCCTGAGGACCGCAGCCCAGAGACACCTCCCTTGTCCTTTCACATTCACTGCCTGGGTTGTATAATTAGCACTTTATTAAGGGCCTGGCTGAGGCTGCGAGACTTAGCACTTCGCCCTCTCAGGACATTCTGCCGTCTAGCCTCATGAGCAGCTCTTTGATTATTTTCACATCCTTATTTTGTCTCCCCCAGAGACAGCACCACATCCTTGACTTTTCTGTGTACTCCAGCAGCCTACTCTGGCGCTGGGTTCCTTTGAAGCAAAGCCTGGCTATTTCATTGATGGACATTGGGGGTATCTGGAAAATCCTTTGGGGAAGCCAAGAAATTCAGGGGAAAGGAGGCTTAGCCAGAAACTCTGCTTCTCCCAACCAAAACTATTCTCTCCAATGCTCACCACCCCCAGCATCCCGGGGCACCTCTCCAGCCTTAAAAGGTTCAGAAAGCAACATTAATTTGTTGGCACTACAGTTTTTTTTTTTTAAATATTTCTGTTTCCCCCTTCTCAGAAATATTTGTCCAAGGTTTTTGGTCTATAAGAAATCAATTTAACAAAAAATTACGTCTGTAATGGTCGATACTTCTGGAATCTCTGAGGAAGATATTATTGATCCATAGGAAACTACTACCAACAACCTGGAAGATTCCTCAAAAATAGAAAAGAAGCAGGAGAGAGCTTTTAAAAGTAAATTGTTTATTCTTCCTTTTTGCCCTCTTTCTTACTCCCCTCTCCTTCTCCCGCCTCCGTTCTAATGCTGACTGGTTGCAACCCCCCATCCTGAAGATCCACAGCCCTGAGGCTCAGCCATCCAATACAGGTACATCTCATTCTCAAAGGTCTTTTCTCACTCGAGGGTACACAGGACTCTGAGAACCATGTTTTCTTGCTTCAAACTGGTGGCAAGCACCAGTTCCCTGCATGAGTGCCCTGGTCTCTAGGTCAAGCTCAACTTTGTTCTTTCCTCCTCCCCAGTTCAATAGCTTTCCAGACCTTACCTGAGGCGAGGAGGAGAGCCTGCCTCAGGCCCTGGGCCCAGATCAGGAGCAGGCACCAGTGCATGCTTCTGCCCAGGGGGCCTACAGGAAGCAGATGTGGCCTCTTCTGTGACTGAAACTGGCCGACTGCAGATGGCAAGATGAAACCGAGCCTGTGAGGAAAGAGGGTCTCGGAAAAACTGAGCTCACAAAAGCAATGTCAGAAACAGATAAGCTCTCGACAAGTACACAATCTACATAGGGTGAGCCACAAGAAAGACCGTGAAGGAAACACATTGAAAAGTAAACAAAAATGTGGTTAGAGGTATACTAGTCTTTGGTGACTGTTAGTCAACTGATTACTTTAAATTCTGCCTTAATGCAGTTTTTAAAAATCAAACTTTAGTATCTAAAGAGTTCAAGGGCACCAGAGCAGTACCTAAGATTCTGGAGAACCTGTTACTAATCCAGAACATCTCACTAGGCTCCCTTGACTTCGCCCTGCTGAAGAGTCTGCAACCTAATGAAAACTTGTAAGTGGGGGTACTTACAGGTCAGACACCGTCTGGGACAAGGGTCCAACAGAGCAACTCTCCCTTGAATGACGTGTTCTCCTCAAATCTTATCCCTTCGGTCTTGTGTACCTGAATTGAGACTTGTTGAACTTTGGATCAGTTCCTCGGTTGCAGTAGACTCAGGAGACGCTACAAGAGCAAGTTCTCCTGTCCACAGTGACCCCGTGAGTGTCTGAAGTATGGAGAAGAGTGAGTCCTGCTGATCTAACTCTGGGAAAGGATTGGTTGACACTTTTCTGGGGCTCCTGGCTCATCACTAGGTCTTGCTGTTGACTCGCCCTTCCTTCTTCTCCCCTTCTCTGTCTTCCCCTCCCTTCATTCATTTAAAAGTCCCTGAGTGCCTGCAAAGTACCAGACTCAGAGGCTCTGAAGATACCAAGGTGAGAAATTATGGTCTTACAAAGCTTCCTCTCTGGTGAAACCACCTGAGAGAAGAGATGGAGGACCATATTCATGGGCTTCCTAGACTCTCAGCACAGCTATCCTGGGCATGCTCCACGGTAGGTATCCCCCAGATCTGCATCTCTTCCAGGGGAAACATCCAAAGCTTAGTCCTGTCCCTTTCATTCCAGCCACATTCAGTCTCCAGTCCTCCTTCTCCCCTGCAGAGGACTCAGGCCAGCTTCTTCCCCTCCCTGGGTTCTTCCCATTCCTCACTCTATACATGACCGTCACACCCCCCTTCAGACCCTTATGCAATGTACACCTTACCAGCTTCTCTCTGCCCACCCAAACTCGACCTGTCCTTTAAGGCTCACATCAGGAGACAGCTCCACTACCTTCCAACAGCCACAATGCCATCAGTTGAAGAAGTGATAAAACCTAACTAGTGTCCAAGGGGAAGTGCTGGGTTGAACAGGAGGCATTTTGTCCAAATCAGTTGCCAGACAGAGGTACCAGAGGTGGGAGAGCCACAATCAGCTAGTGGGAATGCAGCACAGACAAAGGTAGATACTCAGATTCACAGCCCAAGTTTCTATAGTGGAGCAGGTGGGGCCAAAAAGGTGGGTTTATCTTACACAATGAGAAATCCAAAGAAACCTAGAGTTGCTTTATTAAAAAAAAAGTTTAAAGAAATTTCCTATTTATTTCTAAGCAACTAGTCCACATAGGGACATGGTCATGTCCATTTTGATCCATTGAGCTATTCTTTCAAGGGTAACAGTGAACAGACTATGGAGTAATACCAGGGACCAAAGTCATCCTGGTTTGGTGACCTCGGGAAAATTATTCGGCCACCCCACACCTATTTCCTCATCTGCATATAAGAATAACAATACTTCCCTCAGAGGGTTGTTATAAAGATTCAACAAATGGATGTCCGGTAAGGTGCCTTGAAAATAATATTGAGGATAATCAGAGGAAGATAACCTTTTTCTATCTAGTGTATTTTACCATGAGTAAAACCCCAGTCTCCAGACTCCAAAGCCAGGGTTCTACAGCATCTTCTCATTCCTATGGATCTGAGATAAAAAGAAGATGATACGATGTTTCTGCAGGGAAGGAGTCACTGTGGCAGTCAGAGCTTGAGGCTGCCCTAGTGGAAAGTAAAGAGCAGAAGCATCTCTTCATGGAGCCCTCTGCAGGGCCCTCTGTGAAACCCCTACAGGGACTCCAGGTGGGGAGCTGGCGGATCCATCCGCCCAGCCATAGTGAGAAGCACAGCTCTGAGAAGTGGCCTGGCAGACAGCACCTAGGACCAACCATCCCGTGCTTTGGGACCAGTCAGCAGCCCCTGCAACACAACAGAAACCTCTGAGGCCAGCCAGGTGCTGACTCATATTTCCTTTGGAGGTTATGGGCTGGACAGGCCTGGTCAGCCTTGGTGCAGCTGGGTGGGTGTAGGTATTGGAGAGCAGACTTCATATTGCCTGGAAAGGGGAAGGGGTGCACACCTAGCATGTAAAACACTCTGCAGGACACCCTTTCACAGCCCAGCCTGCTGAGATCCCCCCAAGACCCCCCAGCCAACTCCTCAAGCCAAGTCCTGACAACATGTGGCTAGCAGGGACCACAGCTCTGAGCAAAGAGGGCTGAGTGGTCATACTTTCCACAAGGCCTGTGAAAAACTGGGGGCAACTCGGTGTCCTCTCATGAGACAAACTAATTTCTCAGAGTTTGTGTGCTCCAGCCTCTCCAGATCTCTCTTTGGCTTGGAAGTAGGGGCAGGAGCTCCAGGGCTCTCACACTCTCTACTCCATCCCGTCCAAGCCTCTAACAGAGAATGGACATCCTGCAACTACTGGGGGCAGTGACTTTCTCACCCCACACTCCCACCCCCCTCACAGACCAGTGCTTCCTGATGGCTGCTGTGTTTGTGGTAGAGAGCAGCAAGAAAGAAGGCTGAGGGAATATGGGGGACAGGAAGCAGTGGGAATGAGGAGGACAAGACCACTCTAGGCACCAGAAAGAGCAAAGCCACTCTTGTTACCTTGCCCTGATCTTGTACAACCCAGGTTCATTAGCTGAACTTTTAAACTAGCCGAATCTTGCTTAACATTAAGGACAGGATGCCTGAAGGCCACAAGTTCTTCAGGTGAACCGGCTAAAACTGGTCAGATCTAAGATGGCCGCAAGAGTGACACAGACGACTTCTAACTTCATTATAAGAAGATATTCCTCCCCTATCCATCATCCTTATTTTGCTACCCTATGTCTAATAACCTCCTGACCCCCAAGGGTAGGAAGTTCATTTTTAAGTTTATCTTCCACTTCTTCTGTGTTGGCCAAGAATAAAAAGTCTCCACTGCTCAATTGGAACTTAGTCTTTTAGTCCAAGAAGGAAAAGGACCCAGCCTTTGGGGGTCAGATTTGGTCATCCCACATCTTATGACCCCTACCTGCCTCATAGCCTTGCAGAGTCACCTCACAGGAGAGAGAGAACTCTGCAATGGAATAGCCTTCATTCCAAAGCTACAGAGAAAGCTGTCTCAGAAAACCAAAAACTGAATCCATAAGGAATGCCTATGATCTGAGGTGTATTAATAAGTCTATGAGCCACAGGGCTTATGGACGACAGAGCTTCACAGTGAACAAGTGAGGAGAATTTGGGGTCAGATCTCTGACTTCTGTTTGTTCAAGTTCCCTTGGATGATGTGACTCTGAGGACCCCATCCAACCCCAAAGGCTGCCAAGAAGTTCAGTGGACTCTGGAAGATTTTCTTTGTCTTTCCAACTGTGAAAACAGGACAGAGTCCTCCAAGATAGGCTGGAAAATAGAGTCAGATGAAAACTCTCTGGGAAAAAGCAGCTGATCCTGCCTCCTCTTAGACCTCCCACCCACCAATATTGCTTCCATCCTTTGCCTCCATCCTAGGTGGGATTACACTATTGTATAATTGGAAAATTTATTTAATGACACTTGGTAAGGCAGATTTTATTCATCATGATGGGTTTAGGCACCAAGGCAATGGGATTTTGCAGTGGAGGAAAGAGATCGAGCTCAACTCTCAACATAGCATGGGCAAGTGGGAATTTATAACCCTGGAGCTAGTTGGCACTCGGTGCATTAAAAATTACTAAGAGGAAACATCAGGGATAGAGAACTCCGAATAAACCAACCTAATGGGAATCTTGCTGAAGACAGGCCAGGATGACCAGACATCACCTGAGAAATAGTGAATGTTAGGACCTGATCAGAGGAGAAGCATGATCAGATACAGCAGGTCAGGGGCTTCTTACTCAACTGATTTAGCAGGACTTCTCGTGAAAAGTGGATTTTACAAGAAGTACACAGATGGGCCCAGAAGTTCAGAGCCTGAATAAATTTGGTAAAGTGATGCTTATTTGTTACTGTCAACTCTTTATATTATCAACACAAACCCTGCCCCAATATGCCTTGGGAAAGGTATTCTCTACCCTTGAAAGCTTAATTTCTACTTTCTGACACCTGCAGCCCTCAGTCATACAGTACAATGAGGACTAAGACAGAAGTACAAGTGAGCATATCATTCCAATAATCCCTAGATCATCAAGAGAAAGACTGCCAGGCCTAGATGATTTCACACGGGGACTACAGCAAACATTTGAAGAGCAGATCTTTTCAATGTTGCTTAAAATACACAGACAGCATAATGGAAAACTTCCTAATTAGTTCAATGAAGTAAATTGAAAATTGATGTAATGCCCCCCCAAAAAGAAAATTGATGTAAAAATGATGAAGATTGTATACAATAAAAGAAAAACAGCTCCCAATCTTGCTTCCAAATTACTGAGAAAAATTCTAAATAAAATATCATCACACGGACTCCAGTAGCATATTAAAATATATATATAATGATCGGGTAGTGTCTACTCCAGAATGGCAAGAATGCTTCAAAGCTAGGAAATCCATTAATAGTAAAAAAATAGATCTATATTTTAAAAAGGATGTGGTCATTTCCTTTGATTCTGATAAGAAATCTGACAAGAGTCAGTAACCATGACTGAATTTTTTTAAAAAAAACAGTAAGAATCAAAAAATTATTTCTCTATGTAATTACTCACACACACACACAAACACCCACCCACACACAGAGTGAGTTAATCCCAAATCTAATATCTCTTTTAATGGCAAATCACTAGAGTTATTCCCAAAAAAGCCAAAAATAAAAGGTTTACTGGATTCAATTCAATTAAGTTAGAGAAGCA